TTCTACTGGGTTGTGGCTCACCCTATATGGGTATATCATTTTCAGGTACAGGTAGCATGCCACCTCCAAGGACGTAGCTTGGGAGGCTAGAGGCGGACAGATTTTTGTTGTTTAAGTTCCTTTTTGATGTATTACATGTATATTCAAGCCGAGGGCTTAAGTTGTAGATGAGTTAGTACTCTTTTGTTGTAACCAAGTGTTAACTTGGAAAGCTGTAAGCCCGTAGGGCATTTTGCTTTTGTTGTTAACATGTAATACTTTTGTAATGAAACTCTGATGAATAGAAGATTGTGGATATTTCATATGTCAATGAATGTTTTATTTGATGGGTTTAATGTTATTATTTTGAGGGCGTTACATATGTGAAACTAGATGAAATATATGTATTTTTTTTTCACATTTCTCCTATTTTTTTAATTTTTTTTTTCCAAATCTCTTTTCAAATCTTCCAAGCAAATACAACATTACGTGTCTTGAAATAAGCAGAGATGAAGATAGCATGGTGAAGTAGAATTTTAGAGTTACAATGGCTCAACTTGAGTGATTAGAACTGCAACACCCCATACCCTGAACCTGTCTTGTCTCACGACGGTTACGGATACCAAATACGAAAGGAGACAACAGATAAAAGGATTTTCCAAATGAGACTAGTAGGCCTATTTTAAAAAGTTAGTTAAAAGTTAAAAAGTTGATTTTTTAAAATATTTTTAAGTTACATCATCTCTTTACTTTTTATACGTTTTTTAAAAAAAAAAATAAAAAAACCTACGATGTACCATGTTTTGGGCAATAAATAGGTTTCATTACCTAAGTTAGAACTAGTGCTAAGATGGACCTAGGCCCGTTTGTTTTTAGAATAGGTTAGGTGGAATTATTAATGAGAAGATTGTTGGTGAGGAGACTACAAAAAATTGTGTTTGTTTGTTGACCACTGGACTAGCAAGAATTTATATTTGATTTGTCATTTTATGATGAGATTAATTATATGAAATTTCATAAATACTCTTGGTATTTTTGATATATTTTAGTATTAAAAATTATATTTTGGTACTATATTATTTTATGTTGATGTAATTTT